CTTATTGCAGATAAGAATGGAGCCATGTAAGCAGAGATTGTCCAATGCAATACACAAGAATCAAACTCATTTATAGGCCTATGCTCCAGGACTTATATTTAATATGGTTTTTTCTCTTTCTAAATTCATGGTCACCTGCCATTCACCAGATGACCTTTAAAGACACCTAATTTATGTTAACGTAGTAGTTGTTTCTAGCACATCTTCATTCTTTACACAGCCAATCTGCAATTTATTCATCAAGAACAATTTTTCTCACGCTTTTTTTTTTAGATAAATTACTTGATTGGATTCTATTGATGGTACTACCGGTATGTCCAATTCTGGGCAACATACCCTAAGAATAATTCAGAGAAACTAAATTTCCAATTTTAAAAATGGCAGCAAGATACAGAAGACTAGGAATTAAACCCCTTTAAGAGAGAACAAAGTAACTGGCATGTTTAGCTTTCAGAGGAAAAAATGATAATTTTTCAAACAATGAAAACAGTGTGTCACAAAAGAAGAGTAAGAAAAATTGATTAAAATTACAAAAAGACAGTTTGCAGTTGGATGTTAGAAAAATCTTCTTAATCATGTAATTCAGCAGTGGAAGCAATTACCAAATAGTAATCACTATTTGTAGGTTTATTTATGCAAGGTTCACTAAAAGACTTCAAGCAGATGATAATAACTAGGAAAAACCTGGGCAAGAGATGGAACTCAGTGGTCCCTCCAGTGTTATGCCTCTATAAATGGTGGCTATAGTTGAAGTAAATTTTGTATATTTTAACCTATCCACTTGCAAGGAGAGTAAGATAACTTTGTTACCTAATCATGAGCTTCAATCCTGAACCAAGATTCTTGCTATATAGACTATGTATCTTATTTTTCTTTAACTTTGGAGGATATAATTCATTTTTGCTGAGTTTGCCTTACCAGGAGTATGGTGTGGGTGTTTGTATGTGTGGGTATCCTAATTTCCCTAAATCTATAGTGCTTGCTCTTGGAGTCCAACATATTTTTCTCCTCAATATGTTAGCTGCTGAACGACTGGAATTGCCTACTTTTCATTCCTAGGTAAGAAAAAAAGATGAGAAAAAATAAACACATATGGCTAAATTCAACCATTTACTTGACATCATTAATGTTGTTATCTGTAACAACAGGAGAAAATCAATATTTCAAGATTCTCTTAAAAAAATTTACAGTTTACACTTAAAAAATGATTTCCTAGTATGAAAAAGAAGCTGACCTCTTGAATGAGATGATTTAAAATGCCAAATTTTGAACAAATGTTCTATAATCATGATTTAGTTCACCTGCATGTGAATATAAGGGGAGAGCAAAATCAGAGGTTGTTGTGACTTGCCTGGAACACCTGTTCTCTCATGGAATTATGTAATAAAATACTGATAGATACTGACTTATTTAAATCTATATTATTAAATACAGACTCTTAATAAGCTCTTTACAATTTTGCCATAGACTAGGACTGTCAAACTCCCGGCCCAGGGGGCAGATGCATCACACACTGGCCATGCCCACAGTTTAGCAAAGGGGAAAATAGTCCCAATACGTCATGTGATGCTGCTGTGATGACATGAGTTTGACACCCTTGTCATAGACCCAGCTAACAGCGCTTGTTTCATGAAATAACAGGAACTCTGTATTTCCAATATCAGAATTGGCAGAGCTGAAACAAAAAGGAAATGCCATGTTAAAACCACACCTTAAAATTAAAACAGAATTTTCAGTATGATGCACAATCTATTCAGTAATTCAGTAATCTGAATTTGTCTCTTCCCCTGGCAGATGTTCTCTATGCCAATCCACTTTTCAGAAGTATAACTTCAATCTTTTGTAGCCTGAGTGCCTTCCAGATGCATGGATATGGTCTCCATGAATTGCTTGTCCGCATGGCTACTGCTGATAAATTTGGAAGGCTGCATACACATCTGGAATATGTTCAGAGTGGGAATAGTTGAATCATTCTAACTGAAGTTTCATAAGGACTCAAGCAGCCATATTTGGCTTCACAAGTTATAAAAATAAAGTTATCAATATTTTTGTAACTTTTTCAGATACTTATCAGGCACTGGTAACAAAAAGATTTTCACTATCATTCAGTCCAAGAGCTTCCAGAATAACTATTACAGGAAACAGAATCTAAAAAAATAGGCCTTTCTTTGAAACCTCCAGACAATTCTTTAGTTTCATATTTCAAATTCTACATTTTAAAAAGGGTTTGGATTTTTACCAGATTTTCTATGTCAATTAGTCATATTTTTGAATACTATTAATTCAGATATACATTTTTAGCAATTTCACCTGGTGGTAAGCCAGACTCCATCCAATGGTAAAATCTCAGAACTAGCTGTTGATCTCCAGGTTTGATGGATTGTCACCAAATGAAACATGAAATGAGCAAAACTAGAGACCTGAACCACCAACCCCATAGTGCTGGGATGTGCCATCTTTTACACGTTATATATTTAACCAGCAACTAATAGAGCACAGAAATGAATGCTATTCTGCATTTGTTATAATTGAACAGTGATAATAAAGAATATAAACTCGAATCAGCAATTTGTTGCAATACCAAATATTTTTTAAATATATTTACAACTGTTAATTATTTTTAAGAAAACAAAGTATATAATAAGGAAAATAGGCATGATTTCATTTAAAAGGTAAATAATGTTATACATTCAAATTACAAGAAATTTCAAAAGTTTTTTTTCACAATGTGCAACCTAAATGTTTTCACAGTGTACAGTAGCTCACAGAAGTATTTATTACCTTAAATATTCTCATATCATTATGAGAAAATAGAAATGCATTGGCTTGGTGTTGCAGTTCAAATTTTATTCTACATCAATGGATTGATTTGCTTAATAGATATTATTTCATCCGTAATAATCCTTACTGTAATTCTATCACAAGGAAATGTATAGTTATGACAGAATACGTGGCAAAATAGTCTCAAATATTTTAAATATGCCCTACATGAAACACATTCAAAAAGTTGTTCATCTAACTCTAAAAATACTCAAAATTCACAAAAACAGTTTCTTCTATTTAGTCTTTACCCAAATATGAGCAAATATCACTTCCACAAAGTTAAAATAGTTTCTATTTCAGATATAAATTTGTTGAATAATATAGTTGTGCTTGTGCAGCAAATGTATAAATACAGATGTATTTACATAAATAAAATCAATGTTTTTAATTTCTGAATACCTATCTTACAAAAGGAAAAGCCATTATTCTAAGACTCGGAAACTAAAGCCGAGTTGTTACAATTGATAAGGTGATAAATATTAGATTCTACCACTGAGATAATCAAACCTGAATTCTACAGTATAACATCAGTTTCTACTTGATGATTCATTACAAAATGCACCTCCTCACAAAGCTAACACTATAGATATGCCTCCTTAATGTATTAGTGCCATTATATAGCAACAGGTGTCAAACTCATGGTGTCACATTGCCGTCCTATGACATATCACATTTCCCCCCTTCACAGGGGTGGATGTAGCCTGTGCATGATGCATCTGGCCCACGGGCCACCAATTTGACACCCTTGATATAGCGGCTTTTTTTTAAACTCTCCCATTTGAGACATTTTATAATGAAAGCCCTACCTGCAATAAATATCATCAGTTATTGGTTTTCCTTTGGATCTGCACTTAATGAATTAGTGAAACAATTTTCCTCCAGAAGTTGTGGTTGCTCCATCCCTGGAGGTTTTTAAGAAGAAATTGGGCAACTATTTGTCTGAAATGGTATAAGGTTTCCTGCTTGAGCACAGAGTGGATTAGAAGAGCTTCAAGGTCCCTTCCAAATCTGTCTGAATCTCTACTCTTTCTCTTATACCAACAACCTATGACATGTTAAAGGGCTCTTATTTATAGAATATTTCTCATCTATGGAAACATGCATTTAGATATATACCTTCACACATACACACAAATACATGCATATGTCCACATGTGCACATATGCATGCATGCATGCATGCTTTATACACAAACACATGTATACATTCTCTGGCATGTTGAGCGCTAGATTGCAAGAGAAAGCATTAATCCTAACAGATCTCTTCATATTAGAATCATTTGTATTACCTATTGAAAAATTGAAATAATTTTTGAAATAATTTGGATCATTCAAAGACTATGAAATAGCAAAAGGCCATCTTAATATCTAGGGAAATATCTAGAGAAAATCCTAGGAGAATGTCTCTGCTAATGTTTCTGAAGACAGAGGAAGCAATCTGAAAGACACAATGCTTCTTATCTATCTAAAAGTGCAAGCTGTAATTCTTTGAAAAAAGGGCATAATTTACATCGCACAAATGTTGCTTTGAAAGGGTATGGATGGCAATACCTTTGCTAGGTTACAGCCTGAAATCAGTTGTGACATCTCCAACACCAGCTAACATTTTTCTCCCTCAAAGTAAGATGAACAGTGATAATTTAGGCTTTGAAATGACTTTTTGATTCTTTGCATGTTGTCATAGATTTTGCATTGAAAATTAAACTTAGCAATTGTATTAGGGTTAATTATGGCTGCAGATCAAGAACTGTGGAATATGTTTGTAGCCAAATGTGCTTAGCACAGGACACACACAAAAATTATGGCATTCTTATATAAATATACAGATGACCAAAAATTAGCAAATGGGGAAAACTAAATAATAAATATATAAATGAACAAACAAATAAATAAGGGTGTCTTTTTAGTCAGCATTTGGTCCCGCACAGTATTAAGGATTTTGTTAGTTTGTTTTTAAAAAAGACTCTTTTTGCACAAAAAAATAATAATTCAGGACTTTTTACCCTCTTGGGAAAAAAAACTCTTAAAGCACCAAATCCATATATTTTGCAGCCACAAGTTAAGTCCCACATAATTTATATTTCTGTAATTTTCTACAGACAAAAGAATAACATAAAATCATCTATTTCCTACATATTCACATTATTGGCAACACACACGCACACAAATGGGGGGAGTAATTAGTGCAACAAATTCTTCTCTCCCTGTTCTTCAGTGCAAATACTTTCTCTTCCTGACATCTTTCAGATTCAGAAGTGTGGAAGATGACTGTACGGATTCACACCTTGCTGGGGCTGGTTACCTAAGGAGCAAAAATAAAAAAATGCTGTAATATCAAATCCCATGCTGGCTGGAAAATTTGGGGAGTTGAAGTCCACAAGTCTTAAAGGGAGTTCAAGTCTACAAGTCTTAAAGTTGCCAAGTTTGGAGACCTCTGATATAGATTTTGCATATTTAAGAAAAACAACATATACATACACATACTCAAAATGGATTTTTTTATTAAGCTCTTTTTAATTTTAGTTTATTTTTTTAAAGAATTTCAATGTTCTGGTTCCACTCACCTCATAAAATCTTCATGCAACTCATATCCTGTCACTTAAGGCTATGGGAAAATAATGATTAATAAGTAAGACTAAAAGCAAAATATGAAAACCTTTGGCAATAACCAAAGGTGTTGTTCTCCAGCGGATCGAGTGTGAGTGTATTTAAATTGCATGAATAAGATCATGGTATGATCCTTCTGTTGGAATTTTGCAAGGTGAAAGTTGTTTTTGAATGGAATCGATATTTCATGGCTTTGGCTAAGGTGATCTCTGTTCCAATGCATACAGAGGGTCATATACTGCTTCTTGTCTGTATTTCAGAATAGATGAGGCATGAAGATGAAAGACCTTTATCATGGTCTGGTCATTTTCTGGTCAACATATGAATGATTAGAGTCTTTCATTTCTGAAAGGATGGAGAACTAATTTAAATGGCTCACCCCTGGCATATTATAATTCTGACAATCCTGGGCTTTCAGTCGTTGAGAATTTTCCTCCCCCAATTGATTGGTAGGTAGTTCCATCACATGGCCATTCATGCCTCCTCCACCTACTCTGAAGCTGATTTTGAAAAAAATGGTAAGGTATCAGCTTCAAAGGATTCTTGATGAAATGCACCATCTGAATCATTTCCTTCAGATTCAAATTTGAACTTGGGACTGAAGCTGCATTGTTACTCTCATGGTTGACCTTCATTGGTATCTGGTTGGAATGTACTCTCTCTAATCTTATGGGACTCAATAACATTAATCATTTTATCCTTCTGAAACACCCATAAGAGTTGTGAACACTGATGGTTTCCAATAGACCAATGGGGAAAGGATAGTCCAGTCTTTGATTTCTCCATGATAAGTGCAATAGGACTTAACATTTTCTAATATATTATTAAACTTCTATATGAAAATATATGCTTGAGTGAGATCATCCAGTAGTATGAGGTGAAGCTATCATCAATATGATGATGATATACACAACTATTTACAGTAAATTCTGTTCATGTATAAACAGCCAAGTATGTTGGGTTTTGATGGGTGTCATCAAAAGATGAATCTATAACTTGACGGTTCACTATGGTTTTATTCAAACAACAGGTAAAGCCTAATGCTTGTGAGAGGGACATTATTCAGCTTTGCCTGATGTATAGTAATGATTTTTCTTGGACCAAAAAAGCCTTGGCACCTTCATCTAATGACTTTCTCATCTCATACTTAGACTACTGTATTGCTCTTTACTTGGGACTACCTTTGAAACTATTTGGAAACAACAATGGAAACTTGGTTTATAATAAGGCTGCTTATGAATTCTGCTACACTTGCATCACAGGATTAATTGCCAATAGATTCTCCAAGTCTAAAATACTAGTGTTAACACATATGTCATTTATATATCTTGACTTAATGTCTGCCCTGATCAAAATCTGTCAATCCTGTAGAAACATTCTGACAGAAGATATTTGGGGTCTCTGTGTCACAATGAGTCAAGGAAGTATGAGCCTAGAAACACATATTTCAAGTGGCAGCTCCAGAATTATGCAATAACTTGACCCTAAGATAGATCAACTTTTAGCCTATTGGAGTTCTGCAAAGTGGTAAAAATGATCTTATATAGACAGGCATTTAGAATCTACTGATGTTTTGGATTTGAACTGAAAAGATTTTGTCTTGTTGGGTTTAGTAACAGATTGTTTTATTGGAAATTTTACTTCTTTAAACTGTCTAGAACCGTGATGGTGAACCTATGCCACATGTGCCAGAAGTGGCATGCAGAGCCACTTCTGCTGGCACACGAGAGGTTGCCCAGAAGAGCCCCTTCTGCACATGCGCATGCACTCCTGCCAGCTGATTGTCGGATATCTGCCGAGCATGTGCACATAGGAGATGTGCACATGGGAGATGCACACGTGGGAGTCATGCACATGGAAAATGTGTGTGCATGTGCAGAGGCATGCGGCATGTGGGGGTTGCATGCGCATGTACGGGGGTTGCATGCGCATGCATAGAGGTGCATGGTGCACACGCAGGGGATTGTGCACACATTCGCAGGGGGTGGGGTGAGTCGTGCACATATTGCATCATGGGTGCAGGCACGTGAGCACACTTTTGGCACACAATGTGGAAAAAATTAGCCATCACTGGTCCGGAGCCTTGTAATAGGTCAGTATCTGTAATAAATATGTTAGTTGCTTATATTATTTGTTAGTTAGCTACATAATCTTGAATATACAAGTGTAGGTCATTCATCTTTTTTCATAATCACATTAAAAATATTTTGATACAAGTAGGTTGACCCCCCAATCCATGGCAAATAAGATGAAATACAATATTTAAAACATTCTTACTAAACAGCAGTGTGTGCATACATGTTGAAGTTTTTAAGATATGGCCTTTATCACTAGCGACATTCCTTTACTCTCAAGCAATGATAGCCAGATTTATTATTTAACCATAATGAGTTGGCAGTAACTGTTTTCCAAATATGCAAAAGCCCAGATGGAAAGAAGCAGGAAAGAACCTTTATCTAATGCTACATACTTACTTGACAGCTGTTTTTGGAGTTGTCTGACAAGAGCAGCTGTCTGTTGTTGCTGCTGGGTCTGCTGCAAACCTTGTCTTGGGAACTGCAATATTCAGCATCAGAAAAAAAAAAAGCAAATTACTCACAGTGAATATTGTCTTTCTAATCTCAGAAAATATCTCTTGTGAAAGTAAGGAAAAAGTGCTCATTTCCTATGGGCTTTTTCTATGGCAAATATGTATCCCTAACCAAATTATTTTTTCTCCATTAAAGATTCTCTTCAAAGGCTTTCAAAGATTTTGAAGACTTGAATTTTTAGATTTAGAATTCTTTAATGTTTTCAAGTTAACCAAAGTATTTTAATGGATATTATAATTTTTCTTCTTAAGTCAGATCATTTATTAAACAGATGACCAATTGAACAGAGTCAAACTTTCCAGTTTTGCTCATTCTCATTCACCATCACGACTACAAACAGGTAATAAAATAACATAAATAACACAACGTCTCAATATCTCAGTTACACAGATACGGAATGTTGAAGTAAGGATAAGGGATGTAGCAGTATAGGACAAGTAAGTGTGGTACAAATACAGGTATTCTTTGATTTATGACCATAATGGAACTGCATCTGTGACAGTTGTAAAACATGTTGAACAGTACAATTTTATAACCTTTTTTTGTGGTGGTCATATAAAAATATAGTAGTTGTTAAATAAACCAATGGTTTTTGTTGAAAACATTATAATTAATACACACACACACACACACACACACACACAATATTATAAAACAAAGAGCCAGTTTTGGTCTAATGGTTAAGGCGCCTGGCTAGAAATATGGATATGTTTGCTGTCTTGAATTATTTGTGAAAATAATAAAGGTGGGATATAAATAAACAAATAAATAAAAATGGAGACAAGTATCACGTTCTGGCACATTCATCATAAAATATAGTCATGTGACCATGACAGGTTATTAATTGTGTTCTTTCATGCTGCCATTATGTCTTCAAATGTACCCAGATCAGGACACAAAGGAAAGGTGCACATATGTTGTCACCACAATTGCAAAGAGCAGAAGCCAACAGATAGTCCCATTTGTTCAAGGTGATACTCAGTTAACAATCCACAATTCTTGCCTAAGAACAGCAACCAGAATTTGTGATTGCTAAATGATGCATTCACATGATATCTCACTTGACAGCTGCATCACTAACAACAACAATTCTGGACCCCATAGTGATCATAAGTCAATGACTACCCGGGCTTTACTTTTCCAACATAATGAAATGGACAAGTAACTCTTATAAAATATTATCTCAATAATATTTTAATATAGAGTTTTTAATAGAGTTTTTTTGATACATTAAACTCATCTCAAGATATTAAGAAACAGAGTTCATATCATTTGAATTTCTTAACCATTAATTTGTTAGAATGGGTATTCTTTATGCTAGAATTCTCATAAATAATTGATATTTATCTGAATAATTTTTAATTGTTTATAAAAAGTACCATAAATTAACAATAATCCAAACCATATACTAATCATGACACCCATTCATATGTTTTCAATGCTGCTAATGCATGCAGTCTAAACTGTTCAGTGAAGCTATGTCTTATGTAAATTATTGCCATTTCACAATTTGGGCGGAGTGCATGTAGCCTGTGGGATGTTAACCCAGTGTTAAATGGTAAAACATTCAATTTGTATTAGTGTCTTAATGACTATATGAATCAGGCCAATATATTACGGATCATGAGATAGAATAGCAGCACTTATTAACTGTAAGTCAGAACTGTCCTCATGCGCAAGACTGAAAATGAACACGAAATCCTGAAATGTTCAAGCCAACTCATTTTGGACTTGTCTACATTCACTAAAGCCAAATGCACTTTAAAGACTAAAACTAAACTCATAAAATCCTGGAAAAAATGCTTTAAAATGCTAAGAAATCTAGGCTGATAGATTTGTATGATCAAGAAGAGTTTAAAATAGATTAACCAAAATGTGCTTTCAGAGTGATAGACATTGTGATAGGAAAAAAAGTATTAAACATTTTGAGATAAGTTATTAGGTGTACAAGTCAGAAAAATTTTCAATTTTGTTTTTTCTCTTCTTTTTTATCTTTATGTCAGATCCCCTGTTAAATGGTTAAAGCATTTTAATAATCCAAGCTATTCAGCCGTATTTCAATAGTTTCTCTTAAATATTAACACCAATAGTTTAATTAGTCATATATAAAAATATATGTGCGTGTGTGTGTGTGTATGTATGTATGTATATACAATAAGTTGTAAAAAAAGAGTCAAATTAAAACTGATATAACAGAAAGTTGATTCTATGTACACACAAACACATACTTCTAGTGATCATGCTTAGCTATAAAAATCTAGATAATTAAAATGAAGTATTTAAATAATAGAAGAATTAAGTTAAATGAAAATAATATATAATCTTCTAATTTAAATCAAATGCAATTATGTTATGGTCTCAGAAAAAATAGGGAAAAAATAACTTGCTCACAGGGACAAGATTCCAGTTCAAATGTCTAAAAAGTCCCCAAGGATGTATTGGTTTGATTTTAATTTCTTACCCACCAAAGCACATTAGTATTTTCAAACAAAGCAAAATCCACTAAATTTAGTGTATAAGGATACTAAGCCAACACAACTAGCTGAAAAGTTTGACTAGTACAAAGAATAAAATCGTGAAAGAAGAAAATTCTTGAAAAACTGCAGTTTATGTTTCATACTTGAATTGTGTACTTTAAAGCCATATTTTAACATAAAGTTACCTGAAGTTGTTAGTTATGGAAATTTGAATTTGACTAGAACTGTCAGGCATTTAAATGAGCCTAGCAAAAATAAATATTGCGACCTTTGATATTCATTATTCTAGGATGTGAATGATTAATGTTTTGTGTGACAGAACATGTGGTATCTCATAACTCAGTGTGAAACTCAGAAGTATCTAGATACTAAAGAAATTATCTTTAACATTCAATATATGCAGAAGGTGCAACATTTGAACATTCAGAACTTGGGTGGCAGGATGAGGATTTGGGAGATCAATGCTTTCTTCAATTTTTGTTACAATTTATAAGAGTCCATCCAGATTGCCTATTTAACATGTTTTCCTGATCTATGAGGCAGCACATAATATGCTGGCATGGTTTCCTCTGTCTACATAGGTGGTCTCTATTGTGCCTCAATAAGAAGACCAGAAGTGATTCTCTCCTGTTTTCTGCATAGCTCATTTAACTACTGGTGAAAAAAAAAAACCCTCCATCAATCATGGCCCTTAACATGGACTGTGGCTGGAGAAGAGCCAAGTTTTAATAGATGGTTAGTGATGTGTTTAGCCATCTGTTTGACAGTAAGTACTGTTTTTCGCTCAACCTCATTATCAGCTTTGCACAGAAAAGAGAGGCTCTGATCTACTATCTTTTCTGGCAATATTAGGACTAACATCTAAATGATGTGCTTATCCACTTGTGGTCTATTCTACACGATATTCTCTCTTTGAAACATTAATGTTTCCATCGTGCAAGTATTTTCTGACTTCATTCCAATAGACTAAAACTAGAGTTCTAAACGTTATTTCTTTGGAAAGTTCAAAAATAAAATCTCTGGCCATTTATGAAATGTGAAGGCAATATGTTAAGTTGGATATTTTTCTCTTTCTTTAGAAATTGAGCAACTGTTCCCAGATGTGTATTTTGGCAAAATAAAAACAAAGTCATGATTTTTATAGCTAAATTACCTTTTCTTATACAGAAGCATACATGAAATGCTTCTCAACTGATTGTCTAAATCAAAATAAATAAAATGTATTAACACAGCAGCTAAATTCGTTTGTTTAGATCTCTGTGAGAAAGTCAAAGCAAAGTGAATCAAAGACATTCTCAATAGATGGAAAAAGTTGGAGGCTGCTGCACACTTTGGGCTAAAAAGAATGGATCTTTAAAAATGTTCCCTAACTATTTGGAGCATGAATTGTAAGCTTTTATTTCTTTCTATATTGGATCTATTCTTCTTGGTATAGCTAGGTGATCACATAAACATTGTAACATTGTGCTATTTATTCTATAAAGTGCTAAAGTTGTAGGAACAATAATGACTTTACTCTCAATAATAAGGGCCGTGGAACATTTATACAGTGAAAAGCAAATAGACTTCTTCTGGCAAGGTCTCCTACGCCTCCCCTGAGAACTTTTAAATAAATTAATCTAATCCTCTAAAAGAAGTAGTACAAATAAGTCTTTTTCAGTGGAAGTAAAAATTATTAAGCATAGAGGGCAGAAGGCAGCAGTATTATAACATAGTTCATCAAGAGGTTGATAATCACAGTTCAAATCAAACACATTTTTAGCAGCTATACATTTGATTTAAGCAGACTAGTAGTGAAATTCATTGATACCTAATCCACTAGATGGAGTATTTGTACAAGCAATTTTCAGCAGCATCTCATCTGCCATCATCAGGCTTCTGTATTGTGTTCATCTGTGAGTCTGTGAGAACACAATACAGAAGCCTAATGATGGCAGATGAGATTCTGCTGAAACATTGCTCCAACTTTAAAAGCACAACAATAATGATGTGGGAAAATACCTGAACAAAGCTGAATACCATACATGTAAGTACCCGCGAAAACTTAAGAAAACACACACACACACACATATACATATACATATACATACATACATACATACATACATACATACATATATATGGATCTTTGGTTATTCGGGTTTTCTCCCGCATAAGATTGGAAGTATCTAGGCAACGTTTCGATGAAGTCTCATTCATCATCTTCAGGCTTGTGTCTTCGGCTCTGTGCTTCTCACAAGCCGGAAGATGATGAATGAGACTTCATTGAAACGTTGCCTAGATATTTCCAATCTTACGTGGGAGAAAACCCGAATAACCAAAGATCCACATACAAATACCCACAAGAACCTCAGAAAACACACACACACACACACACATATATATATTATCACAATGTTTCAGAAAAAATATCTATCTCTTAAATATGGGAAGTATTATATGGGTAATATTTCAAACAATAATTACCCTATTAGAAAATTTACAGAACACATACTGTAGTTAGCCTATGAGACTGTGAAATAGACATTCAAAGCCACTTCACTCTTATTATTTTGATATCACTTTCAGCATTCTCCAAGAACATGGAAATTAATAGCAGTAATTAGCAGGATATGCCAATTGAAACCCCATGACTTTCTATATTTTGAAAGACCTCCAGAATATGGTTTATTATGAATATTTTTCTTACGAAAGATTGTTGTTGAGGCTGCATTGCTTGAAGGTTAATGATTTGTTGTTGATTCTGCTGATGCTGAAGCTGGAAAAAAAAGGAAAATGATTGCAATTCTGTTTATCTTTTTTGTTTAAAAAGAAGAAGCTATAAGTCTTTCTTAAAGTGAAACTTCATTCTACTAAACATGTTAATGTATCCATTTTCCTGGTAACAATATGATAATAAATCTTTATTGATTAGCCCTTGGGCTATATCAAAATGCAAAGTTCCAGCAACAATTTGTTACTAAAATTTAATAAAAGCAATTCAGAATGAAATTTGATAAAATACTATTTAAAATGGAACTTGGTAAAATACAATTTAAAATGGAATCTAGACAAAATATGATTTAAGATAAAATAGTAATAAAATACAATCCAAAATAAAATTGTAGTAATGTATAATAATTTAAGATATGGATAAAATATAATAACATTATATTTCAGAGTCGCCCTTTCAATCTATCCCAATCAATTTCACATACGCAGATCTCAACCGAATCATTTTGTTTAAATACTATGCTACATTAAATGTTATTTTCAAGTTCTAGCCAGACATAAGATAAGTTATTTTGATATGGGTATCCCAATGGGTCATTCGTCTGATATATAGACCAGGATACCTGTCTCTCATCCTCTTATACAGGCAACAGTCAAATAGGATGTGAGCCAGGTCCTCTACCTTTGCCGCTCCGCAAATGCAGAGACGCTCATTGTACGGTATTGCATGAAATCTCCCATATCTAACCATTGTGTCAAGCTGTTCAAATCTCACTCTCGTGAATATCTCCCTAAGATGTTTTACGAGTTGTGACTTCAAGTAGCTATCTACTTGGAAAGTACATTTGTATTTACTCAACCATTTCAAGTTACCTACCTTACTAAGGGTAGCTGTATCAGTTTGTGCATCTATATCCTTAATTCTTTGGGCAACTCTTTGTTTAGATTGTTCTCCTGTTACACAAGAGATAGAAAGACCACAGCTTCTTACAAAATTTGTTAGTTTAGTGATCCAGGAGGTTTGTGATTGTAGTTTTATTTGCTCTACTAGGCATAATTTGGATAGTCTATTTGTCTCCAATTCATTAACTTTGCACCAGTAGTTATAAGCTCTAATTTTAGATAATGCCTGAATTGTATAAATTCCCAATTCAGCTCTAACTGCTGCAGCAGATGTTCTTGGGTCTACACCCAAAATACATCTCAAATGCTGGGACTGTGTTTGTTCTAGGGCTGTGGTTGAGTAAAGACCCCAAATTTCTACTCCATACAAGAGTATTATGGTAACTTAGCCTTATAAACCTTGATTAATGGGACTAGGGACCCTGGATAACTATGGTTTTTTAGTTTGAGCAATAAATCCAAATGGGCTTTTGCTCTAAATGTACTCCATTGATGATGGCAGGCCCAAGATCCAGTCTTGGGAAAAGTTAAGCCCAAATATACAAAGGAATTAACCTGTGCAATTAGTTCACCATCCAATTGCCACCTATGTCTCTGATGGTTTCTTCCAAACACCATTATTTTTGATTTAGATTTACTAATGATTAGAGAGTTATCCTGGCAATAAGAGCTAAATCTTCTTAATAGCCTACATAATTCTACTTGTGTGTATGATAATAAAATCATATCATCAGCATAAAGCAAGCTGTTTCAGTAAATGTTTAAGATCAATGGCATGTGTACCATGGTATCTTTCATTAATTCTGGCAAGTCATTGATGTATAACTTAAATAATAAGGGGGCCAGGATACACCCTTTTCTTATCCTTTTATTTGTGCAAATCCTCTTAGTCAGGGCCCCGTTAATCCCATACTGCATCCTAAAGCAGGTACTTATGTAAAGGGCTTTAATCAAAGCCAGGGTTCTATTTTAAGAGAGATCAGTTTACTCCATAGTACATCTCTATTTACCATATCAAATGCTAATGTAAGGTCTATGAAAGCAGCGAACGGGGGGTCTTCTCTTATAGGCATATTTGGCAATTAGTTGATTCAAGACAAGCAGTAATCAAGAGTAGATCTGCCTTGTCTAAAACCTGCTTGTTTTTCTGTGAGGATGTTGTTTTCCTTTACCCAGATTTCAATTCTGTTCAAACCTACCTAGCATATATTTTTGCTACAATGTCAATCAGGCTGATGGGCCTATAATTACTACGATCCTTTTTATTCCCTTTTTTATATATGGGGACAACTAATGCCATCTTCCACCCATCTGGGATGTGGCAGGTGTTATTTATGTGTGTAAAAAGTCTGCTAATACAGGGCCCCATGGTAACAGTATGGAAATTGTCTTGGATTGCGTTTTCAACTCCTATTGCAATAGAAAGGCAAGAATAGTGCCAACTTTCAGAGGATGAGAAATCTTGTAGTTGATCAATAAATAAACTGGTTGAAGCTAGAATGTCATTTTTTTTTCAGTTGGATTGATCATTTACAGAAGACTTTTGACATTAGACTGAGAGCCGCATGCCCAGATTAACCTCCACCCCACCAAGTTTGAGAGCATATACTGCAGTAACATTCTGCTCTAGGAAACATTGCTTTTTATGAGTTGTAATTGCAAATTGTAATTTTGCATTGTAGAATTCCTTCTAGCTCTCACCTTTGTGGTGCTTAATAAATTTCTGCCCAAATGTTCAGATTTAATTCACCAGTCTTTGTCTAGTTGTTCTAATTAAATCATCTATAAATTTCCACCACCTTAGATTGTTAAACTTGTAATACTAATAAAGATCCCTCTGGAGATAGGAGAAGTTAGAAAATGGAAATTCTTGAAGCTTATGTAGATGTACATATAGGAAGAACTATATAGTTCAATGAATCAGGTCCTGAGCTTTACATACATTGCAGAAGAAAAGATATGGTAGCTTATGGGAGGCAAAAAGTCAGAAGTTGGGTAGAACATTTTCAGCTAACAGATTTTTATTAAAAGGAATTAGCTTTTGTGAGTTGTAGATCACAATCAGATGGCTAGACTGATAAAGGGTTTAAACTGAGATGGAGGAGGAGGAGACAGATTGGTTATGCAGATGCAGATTACATGTAGTTTAAATCAGATTACTATGAGCTTGTCAATTAATAATTGCAATGTATTAAAAACACATTATATTTATTAGGATCTTTAGAGATTGTCTGAAAACTTTGGATACATATGTATCTACCAATATCTTCCTTAAGATTTATGTTAAGCTTCAATTTTTCCAAAATGGCCAATTTGATGTTTGACAGCATGGACTGTCCTGGGAATAGGTTATTAGTATACTCAAGCCTACGAAGTAGACCAGATCGAGAAACTGAATCCACAAAAAGGCTATAACTGTAATTTATTGTAGTGTTTCTATAATTTTTACAAACTATACTACTGAAAGGCTAAAGTAGATTTAGTAAGGGCTTTAATTTAATTTAATTTAATTTAGTAAGGGCTTTTAACTATTAAAGCCAACCTCTTTAATACATTCTTTGGCTCAGTATTTGTAAACACCAATGGATCATGCCCAGTATTTCCTAGTCGAACCACAGATAACTACAATGATCTAATACATATCGATTTTACAGAAGACATTGTTGAAAAAACATTGCACAATCTAAAACCATCTCTATCTATTGGACCAGACGGAATATCTGCCTACTTCGTAAAAAAGCTACCCACTGCCATAGCCGAACCTCTAAGCATAATCTTTGAAAAATCTTTCAGGATCAGCTCCTTGCCAAAACTATGGACACAAGCCATGGTCATCCCCATCTTCAAAAAGGCAGACCCCAGCCTAGTTGAAAATTACAGACCAATCTCTTCATGCTGAGTCACCTGTAAAGTCATGGAATCAATTATTAACCAATCCATCATCCTCCACTTAGAAACAAACAACCTACTCTCTAATAATAATTTGGTTTCAGGAAAAAACTATCATGTAATCTGCAACTCTTACGCTGCAAAAACATATGGACTACACAACTCAGGGCAAAGCAATAGATGCAATCTACATAGACTTCTGTAAAGCCTTTGATTCAGTGGTACACGACAAACTACTCCTAAAACTAAAATCTTATGGTATCTCTGGACACCTGTATTACTAGATAGAAGCATTCCTGTCAAACAGACAACAAATGGTCAAAATTGGGAGGGTCCTATCAAATTCTGTACCTGTCAACAGTGGTGTCCCCCAAGGCAGTGTTCTAGGACCAACTCTTTTCATACTCTACATAAATGACCTCTGTGATCATATCAAGAGCAACTGCGTTCTCTTTGCTGATGATGTAAAACTATTCAACACCACAGACAATACTGCTACCCTTCAAAAAGACCTTAACTATGTATCAGAATGGTCAAACAAATGGCAACTTCAAATCTCAACAAATAAATGGTCTGTCTTACATATTGGCAAAAAAAAAAAATCAGAAAATAAAATACAGGCTGAATAGTCAAGACCTTGTTGAAGATCCTACATAGCCAAAAAGGCGTTAAGAGTTGTTTACCTAATTTTACATAGTTTTTTCTCTGGTAATATTACACTAATAACTAGAGCATACAAAACATTTGCTAGACAAATACTCGAATACAGCTCATCAGTCTGGAACCCACATTATGTATCTGATACTAACACAGTTGAGAAAGTCCAGAAATATTTCACAAGAAGAGTTCTCCACTCCTCTACTCGTTGCAGAATACCTTATGCCACCAGACTCGAAATTGTAGACCTAGAAAACCTAGAACTATGGTGCCTTTGGTCCGATCTAAGTATAGTATATAAAATCATACATTGCAATGTCCTGCCTGTCAATGAATACTTCAGCTTCAACCATAACAACACAAGAGCAAACAATAGATACAAACTCAAGGTTAATTGCACCAAACTTGTTTGCAGGAAATACGACTTCAGCAACAGAGTGGTCAATGTCTGGAATACTCTACCTGACTCTGTGGTTTTTTTCCCCGAACCCCAAAAACTTTAACCTTAGACTGTCTACTATTGACCTCACCCCTTTCCTAAGAGGTCTGTAGGGGGCGTGCATAAGCACACCAACGTGCCTACCATCCCTGTCCTATTGTTTCTTTTATATTTTTTTAATATTTTTCTTATTTGTATCCATGTATTCATAGCTATGTTTTTACTTATTCCTATTATCTTGTAAGCAATTGACAAATAAAAATAAATAAAAAATAAAATAAATAATCCTTTGCTGTGATCCCAGGCTTCTACAATTTACTTTTATGAAGAATTACAAATATAAGTAATACAAGGTAGTGCTCTTTTAGAAAGAGGAGGGCCATTACCATTCTTAATAGGCATTTCAGACTGGACTATGTATACTGACATAATAGAGCATTACGTAGATGGCCCAACACAAAAGGTGCCAGATTTTGACCTTCCTTGCCAGCATTGGTTAACTCTGAACAGGATCCATACCCAACATAGTGTCTGCCAGGATTCATTGTTTAAGTGGGGTCTTGTCTCTACCCCTCAGTGTGACTGTGGTGCTCCTTGACAAAATATCCATTTTGAACATTTGAACTACTATAAGTCCATGTATTTGCCTTAGGCTAAATAAAATAAATAAAAGAACATTACCCGCTCATACATTGTCATATAAACACTGTGATCATCATAATAAAAATAATCATTTCTAACCAACAAAATTAAAGACCCCAAACCTGAAGGAATCTTTGTTGCCGAATTTGCTGTTGCCTCTGTCTCATTTGTTCCTGAGATATCTGGACAGAGTAAAGATTTGCCTGGGAAGATGTGGCTGATACTGGATCTAGAGGCCCTCCAACTAGGTGATTCTGCTGCAAAGACTGGTGAACTGAACTGAGAGACATAAAAAAATTAAATACATAGTTTTCAGGTATGAAAAATTAAATTAAAAAATCAAATTAGTGAAATAGACCATTTTATTTCAGAAACAATCCATTTTATTTTTGCCTGTAGGATTACTGAAGATAGTTGAAGTTTGAAGATACTGAAGATACATCTGAACATACATGGGTTATAATTATAGATTTAACATGGTCATTAATTATATTGCTTTCCTTATGCATTACTTCTGATTGTAAAATAAATAAATAAAATATTCTATAAGTGATGAAACAATTTCAATGGAATATCACTAACAAAAAGCAATATATGGATATGAATAAATATTGATCTGTAATATAATAAAATTTGCAAATAAATCAATACACACAGATCAGAAAAGATATTGATACATATGAGACTGTAAAGTTGTGAACTCTAAGCGGAACAGTAATTTAATTGCAGCTTAGATTAAGATGGCAGACTAGAAAGAAGAGATTAAGCTTCACTGAGTTTAGATAGAAAATTCCAGGGGAAATCAAACTTTTTCAGCCCAATTTACCTTACTAAAGAATTATAGAGAAAAGTTAGAGCTGACTTTTATATATACTAGCTCTCTCAGAAAAGGCTAGATATACTTATAAATACAACCAATACACATACACACACACACACCTTACATTTCTACATATAGTGCCATTTTCAAGATTAACTGAAAAGGAAATTATCCCTTTCACAGCTTTGCTTCTAACCAAAAAATACCCCAATGTGTAGCTCTCTACAATACTAATTATAAAGGTTCTGGCTTAAAATAGAGCTGATATTGTATGCAACTCCTATTCATATCAAAAAATTTTTACAAAAAATATATATAGTAGACTGCATGATAAGATAGAAAATTATTCCACCGTGGAGGTCTTTTCTATCCAATTTCCACATCGGTCTGCAAATTTGTTTTAAAGTATACACACATAGTGTCTGCACTTTTTTTTCTTCGCAATATACGTGTTTTACATGCATTTTTTTACTCAACAATTCCTTACTCTGATATTCATATTAAAGATGAAAATGTGAAGTCCTGATGCTCTCTGAATTTGGTTTTCTTGTAGAGGTTTCATTAGCAAACTAGATAACATCAGGTCTGCTAGAAAATCACCAAGCTCAGAGAGCACCAAGGACCCCACAGTTCATAGCTCACTGTAATACAAAGATTATCTTCTAAAGATAGAAATATAAATCAGTTTGTCTAGAAATGTAGATAGCTGAGAGCTGAATGATATATTAAAAATATTAGTCTCATGTTATATTGAGGTCTTAAGAGATTTGTACCACTTCCAAAATGATCAGAATTTTTTTAAAGCTTCACATGTATACTTCTGCACACATAATGCTTCAGCTACTGCCAGAGAAACAAGATTTTAACATTGCCTTGTTAAAATTAATTTGTTAAAATAATATTTATGACTTGTATAGAAAAGAATTGGAAAATGGAGATATTTTTTCAAGTACAGCCAATTATAATTTATATTTATTGCCTATATGTAATATGGATGGGCAAGTATTAATTAGTAAATTGAACTCTAAGACAAAGATGTGCAATTTTCATTTTACAGCTTGCAAAAACATTTAATGTGAATAACAGGAAATTCCGGAGGCAGTGCTTTAAACACCATTCCAAGAGAAAGTTCCAATAATGCTACAAGAACTTAGTATTCTATTTAGCAGAAGATTTTAAAAATAGATACAAAAAAATAGGCAGTAATATGATTTAGATGAAACTTGCAGCTGAGAAGACATGTGCTTTCTTTGTTTAAATAAACCATTTTTTCCTATTCACCATGAAGGGTTAAGATTGCAACATGCTTTCCATGATACCCTCAAATGATGAAATTTGTGCAGAAACAGGTTCAACAGTTGCCATTCCTCAGTGGAATAGCTGAACTTATCCTTGCCTATCAGTTCCTTTGGTAGGGGAAGAATAGAGATTAGACGCCTCTATTCTATCCATTTAAACTCAGTCATGTGCTTTACTTGAAGTGCCTGTCACAAAAGGATTTACAACAGAGAAGAGTTTGAATAGACTGCCTTGTCATCCATAGTTAAATGTGGGTTCAAATGGTGCTAGAAAGACTATTTTAATAAACACAGAAATGAAATATCTGTTTTACTGCCCCAGGATTGCTGTCAAAAAAAGTAAAACAGAGAAAAACAGATGTTTAAAAATAGAAATGACAGCTTTAGAATAATGGAATGGAATGGAATGGAATGGCATAGAATAGAATAGAATAGAATAGAATAGAATAGAGTTACAGAGTTGGAAGGGACTTCGGAGGTCTTCTAGTCCAACCCCCTGCTTAGGCAGGAAACCTTACACCACTTCAGACAAATGGTTATCCAAACACTTCTTAAAAAATTTCCAGTGTTGGAGCATTCACAACCTCTGGAGGTAAGTTGTTCCACTGATTAATTGTTCTAACTGTCAGGAAATTTCTCCTTAGTTAAGGAGAAATTTCTCCTAAGTTGCTTCTCTTCTTGATTAGGTTTCACCCATTGCTTCTTGTCCTGACCTCAGGTGCTTTGCAGAATAGCTTGACCTCCCTCTTCTTTGTGGCAGCCCCTGAGATATTGAAAGACTTTAGAAAGATGGTCTGTGGAATTAGACACTTAAAAATATTATACTTTTGAATAACTGAATAAATTAATAGGATATTTTGTTAGCAAATTTTAGAAACACTTGGTCTATAATTTCAAAAAGTTAATTTAAAAGCTCTAAAACTCATACATTAAATAAATAGAAATTACACAATGCTGTGTTTATTAAATTATGCCACCTATCCTGTATACAGATGTTTTATGATACAATGTTTTATGATACAAATGTATTTAGCATTGTTTTAATTCTATCTAGTCTGAGTAATAAAATGACTGAAGGCTTGGGCAATAGCACAGAAATAACTTATCTGTCTAGGGCTAACTGCTCATATCAGTTTTCCCCAATCTGATCTTCAGGTGTTTAAAGTTTCAATTCTAATTTGTTTTGTCCTTCAAGCTAAATTGGAAACCCAAAGGATTTGGAAGGAATTAGATTGGCTGAGTCAGAATGCATGTGAAATGCATTGTTTTCATTCCCCCACCCACGTGTTGTGGTTAGCCAGCAGCAGGCTGAGGAGAGCGAGGACTCAGATGAGGGGCCAGGACCATTAGGGAGTGGACTGCTACCTTCAGAGATTGTGTGGGCTGGTTGCAGCAATGAGGAGGTTTCTGAGGAGCCTTGCCAAGTGCGTGTGTGCACAGGATTGCTCACAGAAAACAGCAGTTACAACAGCACGGGTGACCCAGGTGTAAGGCTGCAAGGTAATGGCCCCTCCTTCAAGAAGATAAAAGCCAGCTGTGAATGAACGTACTTTGCAGAAGGCAAAGACATTTTGAAACTCCAGCCTCATGGACATTCTAGTATCCTGAGTTTGTATTTGAAGATTCTTGTATTGCAAATTATTTCTGGTCTGTTATCTTTTGGCAAGTCTCACACAGTTTGGCAAGGCTTGTGTTTATCACAGCTAATTATTTTGCAGTTTCTGTTTCCTTTGGATTGTATTTGATTTGTTGGAAAAGGGCATGGGTCAGAACACCCAGAAAAGTACAAAGCATCAGGTTAACAAAGTTCTGGAATTATAGGAATCTTACCGCTGATTGCCTGCTAAAGGCTGAAGGTAGGCAGCTGCTTGCTGATGAATGTACCCGCTTGGCTGCTGTTGCATCTGCCTTAACCTTTCCATTAAAACTGGACTGGAATGAGTTGCTTGAAATGATCTAGGATTGTAGGTAGGTGAAAGAACTATGCCCCCAGTCTGTTGAGATGGCAATGACATCTGAGTACTATACATTGTATAGCCATGAGGAATTGTCTGTGTGGAAAACAGTTCAAAACACACAATTTTGACTTTTTAGTTTTCTAAAAATCTATCCATTTTACTGGTTTTAAAAATACGGCAGCTTGAAATAGGAACCTTGCATCTCATTTTCTTTCTTAGGCTCAATTGAGTGTTCATATAGCTATTCATATAGTTCTCATGTCAACTTCATTTTTTGTTTATTTGTTTAGCAGGAAGTCTGGATGATATGAAAGAAATTAAAGGTAGAGAAATAGATGTTTCCTTGTAGCACAATTTAGGTGAAAATGGGTAGACTATCTATGGTTAGAGTAATATTTTTCAGTTTCTACAGTTGTGTAACCTATAGCTTTGGTATAAAAATATTAATTCCCACAAATAATATCTACTGGTAGTTATTGCTTGTCTACAACAACTGGGCAAGGCTGTTCATGAAAGGGAGACTCATGAAAGAGACTGGCTACTTTCAGGACTCTCATATTTTTCAAACATTATAAAACCAAGTTTACCATATCCACCATATTTCCCTGAATCCCACTGAACCAATTTTTTTAAAGGGATGCTCTACCTGTGATGGCTGTATCCCTGGATACTGTGTTAGCTGAGAAGATGAGGGGCGGACTTGTTGAGCAAAAATGGAAGCCTGTTCAATTATTGGACCCTGTAAAAGTTCACCAATAAAAATAAATGCTGCTTGCTATACTGTATATTAAATGTTTGCCAATCTAAATAAAATAAATGCTGCTTGCTCTATATTAAATGTTTGCCAATCTAAATATGCTCATTTTGACCAATTTGATCTAGTAGTTAAGGTACCAAGCTAGAAATCAGTAGATGGTGAGTTTGCCTCAGGCATCAAAGTCAACTGGGTTACTTTGGATCAGTCATTCTGTCTTAGCTCAGCACAGGAGAAGGAAATAGTATTAGGTATGTTTGCTGGCTTGAGTTAGTTATAAAAATAATGAATAAAAAACATCTAAAATAAATAGTAACAGCAATAGGTACAACAGCAATAACACTTAGATTTATATACTACTTCATCGTGCTTTACAGCCCTCTCTCTAAATGATTTACAGAGTCAGCATATTGCCCCAACATTCTAGGTCCTCATTTTACCAACCTTGAAAGGATGAAAGGCTGATTCAGACTTGAGTCAGTCAGGATTGAACTCCTGATAGTGAATTAGCCTACAGTACTGGATTCTAATCACTGCACCATGGCTCTTGGTGCACGTGGCTGCTAGATTGACATGCAATTTATTGCAAGTACTGCCAGTTTCTTAAAATACTGGTTGGACTAGAATATCTTTTTAAAATGAGATTGTTTTTGTGGGCAGATTATAATATCTCTAAATTCTGTCTCCTTAAGTGCTGTCCAGTTGTCTGTGCACAGATCAGCCTGCCAATAGTTGAGATAAATGGCAGATGGCAATGGGCAGACTATAGCAGTGAACATTGGGATATTAATGCATGTAAATAATCTATTTGGTATTCTTAAAATTGGATTATTTTCCGGTATTCCAGTCCAGTGAATTTTTGGATGTGGAATGAGAGATACTATTTTGTTTCCTACCTTAGGTAGCAAAATACAATTAACCAGTTCTGGTCCTGTATATATACACTAAGCTTACTTTGAAT